GCACCGCTCCCTTGGTGGTGCTCCCAAGCGTTGTGGGTCTCCTTGGGCAACTTCGCTGCTATGTAATGCGCCAACCAGTGCTGCCGTTCCCCGTCCAAGGCTTGGACGCGGCGGAATGCAGCCAGGCAAACATTGACCGTGCTCAGCATCGACCGTATGGAATCCGTATTATCCTTTTGCAGCCTGGGCAACGCGTATATCGCGTTCATGTGGTGGGAAAACACTAGACGAGGATTGTTGTACCTTTTAATCATCATTCCCCATGCCACGGCGTAGTTCGTCTCCGTGAGCTGCATTTGACGGATGTCATTATCGCGCCCTACCGGCAACGATTCCTTCAGAAAATGTAACCGCTGTACGTTACTCAAATTATTGTTGTTATGTATGAGGCTCGTGAAAGCGTCATAGTAGCCTGGCCAGTCCACACACGCACCGGAAAACTTGGGAACTGACATCTGTGGCATGTTCAGTCGCACCTCCGGATCAGCGGCTCCACTTGGCAGTGGCTGCAGCTTAGGAGTCTCGGCTTCAAGTCTATCCAAATCCTCTGCGATGGCACAATAGGCGTCCATATAACGCTCCTCGAACTCCGACTGGAAATTTTTCACGGCATAGCTCGATTCCGCAAACCCTTCTAGATTCACGATCACGGCATCAGTCTCCTGGAACGCGCTCCTTAGCTCTTCCACTTGTTGCAACCGCTTCTTTAAGGGGGTTTCCTGAATTAGGAGGCCAAAAAATAGCTGTTTTTCGCGATTTTTTTTGGAAGGTAAAGAAACGACCAAGCTTCTTGCAATTTTTGGTATATTTTTATACATATTTAAAGTGCTTAAATAAATTAAAAAAAAAAAAAAAAATTCAAAATGGCGGACTTATAAGTAGTTTACTGAAGCGCCTCGTCACAGAAGTCCCTAATTGGCGGGAGAGATAACTAAAAAACTTATTGACCGATTGAAACGAATAAAGGCTTATTCTCTTTAGAATTAAATTCTCTTCTAAATAGACTACAACGGTTGTTGAAAACCGCTTTTTATATTTTTACAGCATGTTAAAGTCAATATTGCATTTTTCGGGATAAAATATTGACTTTAACATGCTGTAAAAAATATAAAAAGCGGTTTTCAACAACCGTTGTAGTCTATTTAGAAGAGAATTTAATTTCTAAAGAGAATAAGCCTTTATTCGTTTCAATCGGTCAATAAGTTTTTTAGTTATCTCTCCCGCCAATTCGAAAATGTGAAGTGGAGAAAACGCGCTTCAAAGTTCGCCAAGCGCCTGCAAACCTACTGGGCGCTCCTTTGCTTTCATCTCTGTATCTTCGAAAATACTTCGAATTGGCTTCTGAAATTTTTGTGGTATATTCTTAGATAGTTTATCTATCGATTTAAGCAATAAAAAAAAAATCGATTTTTTTTGCCTCCTAATTCAGGAAACCCCCTTAAATAAATTCTCGTTTTCCTCGATTGTGAATCCTTTTTAAAATTCAGCAGCGTCGATTTAAGGGATTGGGCCCGATTTGCCTGTAAGTTAACTAATTGCTCGAAAGTTGGAGGATCCGAAACAGTTTCCATGCTGACGAGTGTAAAACCAAAACTTAGCGCAACTCACCACCCCAAATAAACATGTAAAGAAGATATTGGTAAATTCTTGTCTCGCACACAATTTGTCACTTACTCCGTTTTGCACACAAGATTTCACACCGAAGCCACTCAAAGAAACCAAAAGAAGAGAGCGCCTCCGTTCCTTGACCTGCCGTTGATGCGCTTATGTATCGCCGTCTTCTTTTCAGGCAGTTCGCCGAGCCGACTTGCAAACTTAACGCGGGCGCGCGATCTAACGGAATCTATTTACACCCAGTATAATCGACTTTAAATTTTCACAATTGCAAGGGTCCCCTCATGGGCCACCATGTATAGTTGTGTCCCCTTGTATGTCTGCAACTAACAAGAGGTCATTGTAGGAGGGGGTTCCCAGGCAAGAGTAAACACAGGTCGGGATAATTTCCAACGTTATAATTATTATTATTCACGGATTTACTTTAGACTAGATATATATATGTATGTACAGATGGGTGTGTATTCGCAATAGATAAGGCGTTAGACCGGCGGCGTGCGTTCAGCGGCGTTTGCAAGATCAGACTAACTTTTCACCTCTCTTCCATTCTCTTCTTCCCGCATCGTATGCACTGTCCAGCGACGAGTGAGCGATCGGCTGATCGCCACTCTCCCGCACAGTGGGACACGCAGCAAAACTGAACAGTGCCCATAGTTCGAAAGAAGAATTTTCCATCAATAAACAAAACATTAAGTATCTTGTGAACTTAACCTAAAATAAAATAAACTTAATTTGTATTATCCCTACATATATGTATATACATACGTAATATTCAGCAAGTCGACGCATCGAATTTTTGGCAATTTTTTCCGCCTTTTGTTATTTCTGCTATTCTACATTGGCATACGGCTATTGCACAAACATATTCATAGACGCATAGCTTCCGAAATGCAGCACCGGTCAATCATGATATGTCCACGAACACTCCAAGTGCATATTCCTTATTGTTTAGGGCTCTCTCAATGGTGGCTACCAACGAATGTAGTGCCGACTCCACTGATTTCCCCTTCGTGTAGGGGAAATTTGTCTCCCTACATCGTTCCTGATGTATAGGTCCAGAAGCTTTTCCAGCGCTTTAAGTAGGAATGAGGTGAGGCTTATCGGTCTGTAATCCTTAGGGCTCATGTGACTGCACTTTCCTGCTTCGGGCAGGAAGACAATCCGAGAGGTCCTTCATTAGATAGGGATATAGCCCGCGCTTAAACCAGCTGTATATATTGCGTAGAGCCATGGGGTGATCACTTTCTTGGTCACCTGCAGCATGGCTGGGAATAAACCATCTAGTCCTGGTGCCCAGCCCAGTAGATTCTACTAGAGAATATTAGATATTTTGGGAGATGCTCTTCTCCAGTTGCTAGGTCTTGGTGCTTATTCGCATCTGTTACCTCAGTGCATCCTGGGAAATGCGCATGCATTAGTGCTGTTAGGGCCTCTTCGCTGCCCTCAGTCCACCGCGACAGTCTCCTTGAACTTTTCCCAGTTAGTATTCCGGGGGTTCCGAAGTCTGATTGTTTAGGGGAGTGTACCTATGATCTGAGACGGATGGTCTCTCAAGGACTCTCCATTCTGATACCAAAGTACCTTGTCCCCTTTTAAGCATAAGATCTAGCAAGTTTGAGGAGGTGGGACCTACAAAGGTGTGTTCCTCCCCCACGTTTGCTATACTCAGGTTGGTTGAGAGTATAAAGTCTAAGAGTGACTCACCTATGTCGTTTATGTCGGGACTCCCCCACACGCAGTGGTGCGCGTTGGCGTCTGCACCCACGAGCAGTTTCTGGTCCTTCGGGCTGGCGTCTTTGAAGCTTATGAGTTCTTCTGGTGGGGCCGTCCTGTCGTGTGCCACGTAGCAGGAAGCTACCAAACGGCGCTTTTTTTCCGCTCTCTAGCATCACCACCAGGTCATCAGAGCTGTAATGAGGCATAAGGTTAGCGTGTAGACTCTTCCGTACAAGTACGGCGGTTCTATTCCTGCTTACCGTTGGTGAATGGAGCAAATTGTAATTAGCTGACTTCAGTCCGGCGATGGCATTTCTTGAGGCGATCCATGGCTCCTGGACCAAAGCTATGTCGGCGGATCCTTGCACCATGGCTATGAGGAGTTCCGCCGAGTGTCATGGGTACTCGGCTCACCTCCTTACGACGGTCAGGTCACCGTCCTCTCCTTCGTTGGACTCATCCAGCGTCATTTCCCGGTCGGCATCCACGATGGTTTCCAGACCTTGGCCCTTCTCCACCACATCTGCCTTCAGGCTGAAAGCAAGTATACGTTTTCGTTTTAAATTCCATATGAAAAATAAAATTTTCCACAAAGTAATCAAAAATAATTAGTGCCTCACATCCTTAACTCTGTCCGGCCTTCGTACGGATAATTGAGATTGTCTCTTGGTTTCTTTGTGTTTCACGAAACGACCGATGCCAGTCGTGTCGAAAGGATGTGTGGTCATCCGACGAACGCTCAGCGTTATCCTACGCTTTCCAGAGCTAATCCTTCCTGGTACTTTTGCCTAGTATCCTCGAAAGGGGTGGAGGGGGGGTGGGGGGTTGGGGGGTGGTGGTGTGTTGAATGTTCACGCCAGAAAAGGCGCTTAATTTCTGGAGGCAGTGTGATCTCGCTACCAGCCTCCGATGATCCCGTAAGCGCTCTCTTTCTCTCCCTCTCCCTCCGGACTTCCAGTTCATAGAGCTTCCAATCCGCTCTCCAAAGCTAGGATTAAGTTTCTTTGTATTTTAGTATCAATTTAATTCTCTATAAATAAACATCCAGACGCACGTCGCGTAAAACCCCGAACAGTCTACGTGTTCTTTTTTTTATCGAGTGCATTTCAGCTTGAAGCTATTGTCTACACTATTGTCTACGTAAGGCAAAAAATATCATTGTTTTGTACATTGATGCATGCTTTTCGATTTCTGAGGGTCTCAGATAGATCAAAATATTCCGATTCTGTTAGAGGAATACATTGTATTATGTTCAGCTCCACCGTAATTATGCATGTCAGTGTCCATTTTTAGCCATTTTTTAATTTAATATCATTGGTGTTGGAATCGTATAGATCCATTATATTGACGCAATCGTAACCACAATCATTTTACTCCGGAACGTTTTAGTTTAAATTTGCGTTTCCTGCTCTTTTATTAACATGTAGTCCGCAAATATCTTTAAATTTATATTTGAAGCTTTAAAAAATAATATCACTTTTTCAATATGAGGGAGCAGCGCTTAATCAGCTCTATTTGGTCTATATTAGCTTTTGTCAAACGGTATCAGCACATCCAAAAATCTAGAAATAAATCTGCAAACGTTATATAAATAATATTTCACTTAATAATTAATTTTAAACTTACAATATTTTATTTTTCAGAAATGGTCGTCCTGGTACAGTGTCAATTTCCGAAAAGTTTAGTATAGACTGGGGAACTTATATGTCATCGAGAAACGATGTTGTATATGTTCGCCTAGATGTAAGAGGCGCAAAGGGTCAAAGTAAAAAATCCCTTTACCGTCATTTGGGAGGAGTTGAAGTTTTAGATCAAATATCTGTCTTAAGGTAAGTTCTTAAAAAATAATTGTCATGATCTTTTTAAAACGAATCGCTTTTTAAAGGTATTTGCTTGATACCATTGGCTTTCTAGACGAAACTAGAGTTGGTATATGGGGTCGGGGCTATGGTGGCTATGTAGCCTCTATGGTACTCGGTACTCAACAGGATGTGTTTAAATGTGGCATTGCTATATCCCCAATAGCAGATTGGCTCTACTACAGTAAGTCCACAAAAAATTAATATCTTTTTAAATACATAATACGACTCACATTTTTCAGATTCAGCCTTTACTGAGCGTGTATTAGGTCTGCCTTCAGACAATTATAAAGGATATGTTGAGGCAGATGCTACCCAGCGTGCTAGTCTTATTAAATCCAATTCCTTTTTTTTGATTCATGGTTTAGCAGATTCCTCTGCCCCGTTTGTACATGGAGTTAAACTAGCTAAATCGTTAACAAATGCAAATATTCTTTATCGTTATCAAGTATGTGTTAATATAATTGGTATACATGGTACTGATTGAAAAATTTTTTCAGACTTATGCAGATGAAGGTCACGACTTAGATGGTGTTTTAGAACATGTATATTCGTCAATGGAACAATTTTTTTCAGAGTGTTTAAGCTTGGATCCAGACGATACAAAACCTGACATCGGTCAAAATATTGTTCCAGCCGAGTAACACCAATGAAATATTATATTTTTATGAACGCATTAAAAATAAATGAATGAAAATGTATCTTAAAAATAAATATAGTATGCAATTGTATTTATATTAAGAAAACATATTGAATAAGTCGTTTGTATAAGAATTATCCTGGATGCGAAATAATAGAACTTAAGATATCAATTCTTCTCTATACCGTGTATAACAATTTATTAAATGATTGAATCATTATCGAGTCTTCATTATTTTCTTTCTGAATGAAACCTTGCAGTTTTTCTAACGTACTAGGCGTTCTTAAGTTCGACAAGCAGCAAGCAATGATCGGAAATAATGAAGGAATTCAGGGAGCCCAATGGCCTGAACATTACGCCCCTTTGCAATAACTCGGGTTGCAATTAATCCTTGTATAGTGCTTTGGTCCCAGATTATTAAACTGATAGAATAAAGAGAAAGCACGAGCCCAGATCAGTCGGAAGACGATGGATTCAGCGGCTGACTTGATAACGGATGGCCAAAGTACTTTTGGTACGTCAGCTTCTCAGGTCGATCGAATCGCATCTGATCTGAGTGAAATAAAATAACTCACATGTGCGTTAGCATTCAACGAACTTGGCGGATAGTGCCAGAGCAGTTAGGCCTGATGATGCTCAGTCTCTTCAAGTTGGCTTTATGTGCAGCTCCTTTAAAGCGTCTCCAGACTCTTGGGGTATCGTATGTATGTTGAATAAAACTTCAGCTGGCTTTTTACCAAAAATAAAATAACTCACATGTGCGTTAGCATTCAACGAACTTGGCGGATGGTGCCAGAGCAGTTAGGCCTGATGATGCTCAGTCTCTTCAAGTTGGCTTTATGTGCAGCTCCTTTAAAGCGTCTCCAGACTCTTGGGGTATCGTATGTATGTTGAATAAAACTTCAGCTGGCTTTTTACCAATAACTGAATATTCTGTTGGGGCACTGTAACTCTCTGCCACGCTAAGATAAACTCCTCATTGTGTAATGGAGCCTTCTAAATGATTACGTGCGCATAGCTACTCATCTTTGACAGCATGAACAACACTGGCGTTAATCGCGATTTATTTATGTGAGCCGCCGTGAAAATATCCATCGAATAATATCTTGTAAAAACTAATGTCCCCACTGGTTGTAGATGTCGTCCTTTGGATGCTATAGGAAGCCTAAGCTGACTGAGAATTGCTCTTTTCGATTAATTCTTAGAAATTGGGGAAACTCCTTTTGAAGACCGGATAAGAATAATCGAATTTCGAAAAACTTAAAAACTCCTCTAGCTTTTCCCAATGTGTGTGACGCACAAAAATAGATTTTTTAAGAAGTATGATTCAGGGACGGTAAATAATATAATCATTATTTACCGTCCCTGAATACATTTTTTTTGTTGGTCAAAATAATAATTGTTTCTTGAGCGATAGGTACGGTTAGGTTAATCCGGACGGCCCTCGAGGGGCCACACATAGGCCCATAGCTATCCAAGGAAATTACTGGATGGTTTTGAGCGATAAAGTGGATATAAAATTATATTTATTAATTAGAAGCAAAATATACCAAAACCAATACGTAATCATTATACCCTTGCAGGGTATTATAATTTAAGTCAGAAGTTTGCACCGCAGTGAAGGAGGCGTTTCCGACCCTATAAATTATATATATTCTTGATCAGCATCAACAGCCGAGTCGATCTAGCCATGTCCGTCTGTCCGTCTGTCTGTCTGTCTGTTTGTCTGTCTGTCTGTTTCTACGCAAACTAGTCCCTCAGTTTTAAAGCTATCTAAATGAAACTTTGCATATAGTCTTCTATATACTCTCACTGCTATATATGTCGGAACGGGCCGGATCGGACCACTATATCATATAGCTGCCATACAAATGTTCGATAAATTCTTAGAAAAAAAATTATAACTTTGCTGTTTTTCAACGTTTTTGCACCATTTTTTAGATATGGTCATTTTATAGTATTTCAGAACTTCGATAAAAATTTCATGAAAATCGGACGACTATATCTTATAGCTGCCATAGGAACGATCGGGAAATTAATAGGAAAAAAATTATTGCTTCGTTGTTTTTCAACGTATTTTGATCTACTCTTAAGCTTTTTTTATTATTCTAGAATTTTGGTATAAATTTCATAAAAATCGGACAACTATATCATATAGCTGCCATAAAAGCGATCGGTAAATATATACAATATTTAAAGCTGTGAATGTAAAACTGTAACTGTCAAACTGTGAACATAATAGGTATAGGTAAAATGTAATGAAACTCTGTTTTGTGAGTGTTTTCATCATTTATATCTATAATATAAATATCAAAACCAATCTGCAAGGGTATACAAACTTCGGCGTGCCGAAGTTAGCTTCCTTTCTTGTTTTATTTATTTATTTATTATATCTAAATCCTTACCTCTGACTGTATAATGAGTGTTTTTTAATGATATGCTCCGACTCACATCAGGTGGCCAGAGGCAAGGATATGTATCTTAAGATATTGTATTTTATTAAAATCTAGAGATATTTCAAAATACTGTAACGTCCTGTCGTCCACGGGTAGTCAGCGGGACGTCCAGGGTCTGTGCAGATATATTTATTTGGTTCAGGCGTGGTTGCTGTAAGAGATTCCGACCCCGTCCCAGAGTAGAACGCTAGAGGATTATGCCGTAAATGTATCTTAATGTTTATTTACTTAAAAGGTACAATTCTCAATAATATCATGCCGGATCTCGATTCTGGGGTACGCCGTAGTTCCGATTCGTCCTCCTCGTTCCGAGTGCGGCTGTCCGGTAGGGGAATGGCGATAGTCCCGCCAGGGTATGGGCCTTGAAAGCCACCCAATAGCGAATGCGTTCGGACTCGAAAGTCAACCACGAGAGAATGCGTTCGGACTCGAAAGTCAACCGAACCCAGTAGTTGTCGGACTCGACAGTCAGCTCAGCGCCGTTTGTTGGACTCGAAAGTCAGCTCAGAGAAGTTCGGACTCGAAAGTCTGCAGATTCGGACTCGAGAGTCAGCTCGAAGACGTTTGGACTCGAAAGTCTGCAGATTCGGACTCGAAAGTCAGCAGAGAGAATCGGACTCGAAAGTCAGCAGTGTTTTGGACTCGAAAGTCAGCAGAGATCCTAACTACGATTTATAAATAGGAACCTGAGTTCCCAAAAAGTGACTTCGCTGCTAACTACTGGGGAGGTTAACTCGACCCAATCGCAGTCGGCTGCTAAGTGATTACTCCAGGGCCGTGGTCCGCTTTATATAGGCCCTGGCGAGGCTTCAGTGTGGCCAGAGTCCTGTGCGGGATTTGCCCGAATAGTGTGGCCAGTCGTTCGGTCTAGTGTGACCCTCCGCTCGCGATCAGAGGCGCGCGCGCGCATTCAATTCTAATTATCTCCATAATGTTGCCAATCCATTTCTTATGTCCCTAAGTGTTTCTATTTTATTCTATCGCATATATATTGTGCGCCTACAGGCGTCACACTCCCCCCCGTTTGGGAGACGGTGTGATTCCGCACCGTAACGTCTTTTCCCCGGTCGAATACGCTTCTCCAGTTCGGGGTCCTATCCATCGTTCTGTCTTGGTGCTGTTGCTTCCTCCGTTTCGTTCCTCGTTCTTTTCCCTGGGGTGCTACTTGACCCGTCGATCTCTGTTCGCTCCAGTCTATCCCCGTTGCTTCTGTAATCGTGCCGTCTCTTTTCCACGATGCTCGTCCTGCCGTTGTTCTCGCGAAGTTGGCTGCTTCCTGTACTGGCTCCTCTCCTTGGTCCACGTCCTTCTTCTCTACGTCCGCCCCCATCTGGTCCTCCAGCATTTCTTCTTCTTGATCCTCGTCTTCCTGCCCGTGCGGCTGTTCTTCCACTTGCTCTCCCATCCTTCCTATCTCGCCTGCTAGCGCCGTGGTGCTTCCACCTTCCTCTTGCCTCGATTCCTCTTCCAGGTCTTGTTGGATCACCATGTCGGATTCCTCCAGCTCCTCGGTGCCCTCTTTCCTAACGGCTGACCGAATGTACACCTTGGCCTCTCCACTTCCTGGTGCATTCCTTTGGTCCGAAACTGCCTGGCCTGTGTGCCCTAATCGGTTTCCTGCCGTCCCACAGCATCCGATGGTTATGGGGTCTATTTTAACAGGCCCCCCGTCGGACTCCATGCAGATCTCTGGGACGAGTCTGTGCTGTGGTTGATCGAAACTTTCTGCTTCGATCATCTCAACTACCTCTGCCAGTTTGAGAAACTCGGGAAGGGTTTTAAACCCCGATCTTCTCGTGTACAGTTTTATCTGGCTTCGGCAATTCAGATATATGCGGTTCAATTTTTCCTCCGCCGTATACTCCGCGAACCTCATCATTTCCATTAGCTGCATTGCGAACTCTCTCGTTGGTTCGGTCTCTCCTTGCCTCCGATGCTGGATTTGCTCCTTGAGTTCCTCCTGATACCTCCGCGGTAAGAAGTACTCCACCAGCTCTCCCGTCACTTTCTCCCAACTGTCCAATTTATTTGGTGTGCAGCTCCACCAATCGTTCGCCACGCCTTCCAGGATGAACGGCATGGTTTGCACCAACTGGTCGTGCCCGATGCCGTATCCCGTCGCCCAACCTTCCAGCTTCCGGATAAACTCCAGCGGGTTGGTCCTCCCATCGCACAGTGGTCGATTTAGACAATCTGGCAGTCAATAATTAATATCAAGCTAAATAAACAAGATATGTTTTTCAAATTATTTTTATAGTTTAGTATGTAAATTAACAAATATTTTAAGATAATTTTTTTTAATTAAAAAATTTTTTTAATTAAAAGATAAATGTTTTTATTTTTAATTTTTTTTTAATATTTTTTGAAAAAAGTTTAAGCTCTGTATTTTATTATAACAAAATTGGAAAATCAAATTTGACGTTAAAAAAAACTATTACATTTCTTTGTTGCTAATTTCGGGGATGCTTTCCAAAAGCTGAATCAGCTCGTCATCCAAAGCAATATACTTTTTTGAGAACGCGTAAGTACGCGTATTCCATTGTATTTA